CTTAATACAGCAGTATTTCGTAAACTGAGAAGTGGATACATGTATTCCTCTCATTGAGGCCGCATGCCCTGACTTTTCATTTGCAATAGAGGATGTAATATTTTCGTGTTTTCAAACAAACTTATTTTTATGGCGTAAATAATTATAATGATACGTGTCGAACTAATCATGGTTTCTGTCTGTATTCCATATTACAATCTAAAAATCTAATAAAGCATGAACTAAAATTGAAAACTATCACACCATTTCTTACAACTATATTGTGGTTTGGGTATGATTTTGACGGGATAATGATATAAACTTTCAATGTTACTGATAAAAGTAAACTATCCCCCTCTATTCGGAGTTTACCTTTAGGAAACATCCGAGATGCCCTGTCTCAGAGGAGCAACATCGTCGTAACATCATGAACGATAGACGCTTTAAATTTGAAAATTTGGGGCGGCGGGGGCGAGGGGAGGTATTTACGCTAACTTCTTATATTTAGGTTCTACCATTGTACACAGACTAAGGTTACTTCCGATACATACAGTTAGAGTAACTGTAACTGATTTTTTTTATAATTTGGGCAGGGTCTACCGATACGATAAGTGTAAATGTAATGGTGTAGATGCTGTAGGCCTATAGACAAATTAAAAATAATTTAGAAAGCTAAATACCTCAACCCTTCCTCTACCTGTCAAGACCAACCCGATATAAGAGACATACAAAGTCCTGGTAGAAATACAGAGATACTCGATAAAAGTTTTCACACACGGGATTCGAACTCGTGTCTTCTGCGAGCTTGGGCGAAGCGTCTATTCGCTACACCAGTCTCTGTTTGTCAGGTTAAACCTGGTGATGTTCTGCAACTCGACCAAGACAATTACAGTACCACATAGCTCCACATAACACAACACAGAATCATAATATAGCACTTGAACAGACCGACATTTGCCGTACTCACATCTCTATTAGCACAGAGTAGATTTCTCCACAACTAACATTCAGCCATATATCTTTCTTTTTGTTTAACCAGAGATAATCTATCTTTTGTAGAACTTTTTACGACCTCTCCAACATTATTTAGGCAAACTAGGATCACCCTGCCCATAAAGACCTCTCTGACTTGTGTGGAATATTACGTATCAGCAGAAAGACGAAGAAATGCTATGAAATTTTAACGATTTACAAAGTAAAGCCAAGTCGTGCTTTGAACTAACGTAGAAACAACTAACTTGAGTCACACGAGCTCAATTGAACGTAATACATGTAGTATGCAGTTGCCAGCGCTGCAAAACTGTTACAAATCAAACAATAGAAGATATCCATTCAAATAACTTGCTCGCCACGGAATCGAACTCACATCTTTTGAGTGGAAAGCAAAGAGTCCGACCATCACGCCTCAGACGCTGGTGAAACGATCTACCTAACT